GGGCTCTAGAAAATTCTGGGCTTTCAAGTCCTTGGAGAGGGGTGCTCCCCTCCCTGAGCTGGTGCCTCTGGCCTCCTGGCCTTTGTGCTTAGCAGGTGCACCGGCTGCCTGTGGAAGTGAGTCGTGTAGTGACACACACGCCCTGTGGGGAGTGACCCCCTCCTGTCGTAGCGGTCAGAACAGAGCTCTCGCCTGACACTTCTTTCCCATTAAGGGAACAAAGGCTGTGAGTGAAGGTGAGCCACACTTTCTTCCTCGCCCAAGAGGCTGTTTCTCCGCTCGGGAGAGCAGGTCAGTGATGCCTGCCACAGAAGGAATTTAATAAAGTCTGAAACGGAGCCGTCACTGGAAAGTACGCAGGGCTTGAGAGGTTGTCAGGGGAGTGGTCGCAGGTATTGATGGCCGCTGGTGCCTGTCTGCCTGCGGGACGGTCCTTTCTGTCCCCTTCTGCTATAGGGTCAGTCAGCACTGAGAGGGGCAGCGGCTGGGGCAAAGGGGAGTGCTCATGCCGCATCTGTGACGTCGGCGCTCCCTCCAGACCATCGAGCGGGGCTGGTGTGAGCATAGCCCCCACTTACTCTGGAGAAGCTGCAAGTTGGGATGTTTGTGTGAAATTTTCAAATTAAACAACAACAAGAACTCTCTGTTGATTGGGTGAAACTCATAAAATGCGAATTTGCTCACCCCTATAGTAGCTTAAAACTGTGTGTGTGGAGGCCCACCTGTCTCGTTCCTGGGCATTCCCCCAGAGTCTGGTCCAGTACCTGCGCATCGAAAAGCACTGGGCAAAGACTTGCAGCGTGCCTCTCATTAAGGGGCGCGGCGGCGGGGTGGGGGTCGGTAAAAACTGGGTTTTCAATGACAGTTTGCTAAACGTTCTGGAGAAACGAGCATTTGACCAGTGAGTCTCCTTTGGCTGCTTCTGGCCGGCCTTGGTGGACGTCTGCATCTCTCCTTTAAACTTCAGGTATAGAAGTCAGTTCCCTGATCAGAAAGATGGAGGTAATTAATTCATTTATGAACAGGCAACACTGAACTTAAAAAAACAAAATCTTAAAAAAAAAAAAAAAGCCAGCTTTCCTTATTTAAAAACTTGTTGCAGAGAGAAATCGAGTGCTGTCAGTGTGATATGCAGATGAAGAAAGAATACGGGGGATCTGGAAGTTTCGTATTTAATAACATTTATATATGACATTTGGGGAAAGCGGTAAATAAGGAACACTGTGATAAATAAGACTGCGGCATCGCCGTCTCTGATCAATAATGAATGTACGTAGGTTGAGGGACAATTTATTACACAGACACACAACGCTAGACGCCGCATATGTAGGTATCTGGAAGGCTGTATTGTTTTGTCTAAGAGCATTTGGATTGATCTTCTCATCTGCTTCTCTCTTCTGTGGAGCTCTGTGTTGTAGCTGGAACATGAACAGATGTGAGAGCTGCCTACTTTTTACCAAGAATCACGTTCTCCAAGCCTTGCTGTTCAACAGTAGCTACACCGACTGGCTGGAGAGCGTGCTGGTCCCGGGCTCTCCGTGGATTTGACGTCATTTTCATCGTTCCACTGTTAGGTCACTTCCAGTTCTCATTAAAACAGGAGAAAGGGCACCAAGATAAACCAAGTGCAAGTGCTTCTTAGGGGGGCCGTGCAGCTAGAGCAGCCTGGGGGAAGCGCGGCAGAGAACGGCCTTGCTCTGACTCCTTTCTTGGTCATGCGTCTGAAATGCAGGCCGCTGGCCAGTGGATGGCGCTTTCCTGCCCGACGACATCCCTTGAATTCCCAGACCAATTACTCAACAATGAGAGCTATCACTAATTTACTGCTAGCCCCTCCCTAACTGTTTACAGGCAGTCTGTCGTAGATCAGGACGCTGTCCAGAGGGGGAGTGATCATCCTGTAAAGGGCTTTACAGCCCAACAATGGAGTCACTGGCTCACCTTTCTCTGTGCACCTTGCACATACCTGTGTGCATTGGCTTGTAATGTTTCCTTTACCTGATTTCACAGCCCAGTGTTATACGAACTCTGTCTCCCCATCACACTTAGAAGAGTGCCGGAGACACACACATGCGTGCGTATGTGTGGGATGCGTGGCACGTGTTCGGGATTCTTTATAATGCACTTCGTGGTGCTTGAACGTCTCAGGTTGGAAAGAATCTAGTCTTACAGTCCAGATTATCTCACAATTACTACCCGTGCCTCAGTCAGCAGCCTTCATTTGCTCAGTCTTGCGCGGGGTCCACGGCAGGTACAAAAGATGAAGACCAGCCTTCTGCTCTTGAGGAGGGGTGACCCACAGTGACTTCCAGACAGTGGAGTCCCCTGCCCTGGGCCCCGTGTGTTCGAGGGCTGCCTCTGATCCTCCTCTGGCCATGTCTCCCACTCTGTGGGACTCAGAGTGTACCCCCTTCTAGACCGAGTCTCCGGTGTCCAGGATGCTGGAGTCCTTACCCAAATGTCCCTGAGCCCACTCCCACTCCCAGGGCCTGTGGGGGTAGGTGTCTTCCAGAATCTGACACTAAGGCACAGAACAGGGCTCCAGACAGATCCCAAAGTCCACAGGGTAGTCAAGGGGTGGTTGAGGTCCCCTTGGTGTAGGATAGAGTGGGACAGAAGACAGAGTGCTCAGCCTCTTTGGGCAGCCACGTTCCAACACCAAGCTCCATGGAGCCCCAGGAGTCTAAATTCACACCTGGACTTCCAAGGTGTTTGGAAGCCATATTTGTTCAGGTAGGGCGGCTGGAACTGTCTTATTTAAGAGGTTATTTAAAACCTTTGAACTGTTGACCCATGGGTGGTGGGCCTCATTGGACTGGAGCCCTGTTAGAGGTAGGCTCTTCCGTAGTCTGAGCCACCTCTAAACCCTCCAGCTGCTGGCTTCCATCCTCGCCCACCCCCTCCAGAGGCCAGTCCCCCAAAAGAAAGCACGCTTGGCCCCCAGCGCTTGGAGCAGGGGTTCTCAGCCTGCCTGTGGGGAAGGGGCGCTCTCTGTAAACACTCTGAAAATTGCAAGGGCTCATTTGCATATGAGCTCTTTGCATTTGGCTGCTGAGAAAGCCTTTGCATTTCTCTATTAACAAATAGCTCGTTGCCTCATTTCCTTACTTAAGGCACTCTGGAGTGTTTTCACTGAAGTGGCTCTGCACACGCAAATGCACACTCAGCTGATAGCAATTTCAAAATTGCAGGTCTTGCTGTTGATGGAAAAATGGGAGCGTGGTTATTCCTGTGTGTAATCTTCACCACGAAAACGGGGACTGGGTTTAATGTCGACACTTTGAGATCTGATGTGGCCCTGTTACTGGAAAAACACACTTTAGCCAAATCCTGGCTCACAGCAGGGTCTGTATTTGGGCTGCCCCTCTGCCATCCACCCCCAGACCTGCTCCTGAGAAGAAATGGGGTTTTAGCACAGGTTCAGCTCAGACCAGAACTGCACCCTGCTTGGTTTCTCCATTTTGGGGGGCACAGACTGCTCAACTCCGGGTCTTCCTCGAGGCGGGAGGAACCTTCCTTCTACTATTCAGGAAGGAACCCAGCACAAGGCAGAACATGAGAAAGGAAACGGGGTGGCAGCACCCTTCACTCTGGCCTCCAACCCAGCAGGGGAAAGTTGGTTCAGAGCATGGGTCACAGTCACAGAGGGTTGCCACCGACCCCCGTCAGCCCCCAGCCCCCCGAAATGCTCCATGGTGTGTGTTTCTAATTAAAGTAAATCCAATTTGATTTTATTCTGAAAATGCAGAGAGGATGTCAGAACCCCCTTTGAGGCATATGATTGGTGATGCCCCAGGGGCGTCATAGAAACCAAGGTGGTTCCTCTTGGAAAACCCGGCCCTGTTGGAACAGTAACTTGGCCACAGAAGTTTCCTCTGGTAATTAGCAATTTGTCCCCCAGTCCTGTTCAATAGTGCTAATGAATTAAGCATATGCTTTTAACTTTTCCCACCACACTGCCTCCTGGCAGTCTTCTTCCTTCTCTGAGTGATGTTCTGGACGAGCACAAACGTAAGAAACAGACAAATGTTAATGGTCCCAGATGACACCGTCACCCGCCTCCCAGCTCCGACCATAAATGAGACTGGTAAACAGCTCCAGACTTAAAGACTTTTTTTTTTTTTTTTTAAAGATTTATTTATTCATTCATTTGACAGACCGAGACCACAAGCAGGCAGAGAGGCCGGCAGAGACAGAGGAGGAAGCAGGCTCCCCGCCGAGCGGAGAGCCCGATGCGGGGCTCTATCCCAGGACCCTGTGATCATGACCCGAGCCGAAGGCGGAGGCTTTAATCCACTGAGCCACCCAGGCGCCCCCAGACTTAAAGACTTTTTAAATAAGCCTTTTCCCAAGGCCAGTTCTGGCTTGGCTGTCTTCAGGGTGCCCGGGGGCCCTCCTGATGTGTGCGTCTTGAGGACGCGGTGTAAGGCCAGGGTGTGCCTGGAATTACATTTGCTTATTCAGGTTAGTGCGGACAGCGCAGGGACATGTGCACAGAAGACACTGGGCATCAGGTCTGCAGAGCACGGCCGGCTGGCCTTGGGCTCAGGGCTGGGCAGGCCTCTTACTAGCAGGGAGGACGTGCTCTGACCTGCCTGTGTTTCCACCACAATGTCCTTGTGCCGGGCCTGGCACAGGAAGACAACCCATAAGTGCCCTCCAAGGGCTCCCGACTGGGGCACACTGGAAGTGTGAGCCGGTGGACCCTGGGGAGTGCCGACCTTGCCTCCCCCAGGGCGCCCCACCTCCCTGTCCCCTGGGCCCCGGCGCCCTTGTGGAGGGCTTGGGGAAAACAAAGGTAAAGATTGGCTGCAGAGTCTTCCTAGTTCCCCCAGGGTGGGGTAGTCTGTGGACAGCAGATCGGAGGTGTGGCTGTGCGCCATCGCTCTGGCCACATCCACGGTCTCCCAGCGGCAGCCAGCCCCTCGAGGACTCCCCCCGAGTGGGGAGACCTGGCGTGCGCGTCCACACAGGGCCTGACGCTGCTCTGTCCTTTGCAGACGGACTGTGCCCTATGGACTGTCCAACTACAGAGGAAGCTTCCGGGGAAGGAGGTCCACAGGGCCGTTCCCGCAGAGCCCGCAGCCCTCCGAGTGGACCCCACGCTGCTCCTGTGAGCAGAGCCAGGACAGCGCCTGCTTGCACTTCTGCGCCCGCAGCCCGGCTGTCAGCAGGTATGACGCCCCTGTCGCACTCATCCGCGCAGATCTGGAGTTCTGGGCAAGTGAGACGAGGCCAGAAGAGTCTGCGGCATGGGCGTGGGGTGTGATGCGGTGTGTGGGCGGGGCGGGGCGTGGGGGCGGGGCCTGGGAGGGCGTGGCTGTGCCCTGGCTGCGGTGGTCACGAGCATGACCTTGGCTCCAGAGGTGGGTCCAGCCCTCTTGGTCCCTCTCAGAACAGAGCCTGCAGGGTGGCCACAGCAGTGTCTGGTCTCCAGACACACTTCTGGACTGCCCAGCACTTTGCCAAAATCTGCGTAAGTCACCAACATTTAAAGATTGAAGAATTACCCACCCCTGCCAAATGGGTATCTTTAGCTTCTTCCGAAACAGCAGATGGGACCATCTGGCCCCACGGGGCCCCACCTCCCCTGCGGGCCGTAGAGGCTGGAACCGCGTGGGAGCCACTCCCATCCGGGGGGACGTGCTTCCCGCATCCGCCTGCGTCGCCCCTCACCTTACTTTGGGGACCTCAGGAGCCCTTGAGTTTGAGACCCTGTAGCCGACTCTGACAGCTAAGAAGTCTGTGAATCTGTGCGGACCGAGGTTTGACCCCGAGTGGCATTTGCTCAAGTGGGCGGGAGCCATTGTGGTCAGGGACCCCGGATTCTCTGTCCGAAGCCCCAGTGCCAACCTCATTTTCTTTGGCTTCATAACATCTGGCGAACAACTGAGGAGCGAGTCGACTGTGCTCGGGTAGGAGTCTGCCCGCTGGGCGCTCAACCGTGGGACACCGCGCCCAAGATGCCATCCCTGGGGGGTGCGCTAATGTCCCGCTGCCAGGGAAGAGGAAGTCCTAATTTGCACCGAGAAACCAGCCGCACGGAAATGCGGGTCGACTCATTAAAACCAGCTCTCTCCCCACAGGAACTCAAGGACGGCAACAAATCCTGACAAAGAAGAGCCAGCCAGCGGTGCCAGCGGAGGCCTGCGTCCGAGGAGGTGAAACTGCTTTCTGAGGCGTCACACCCTTGGGGACAAGGAGGGCGTGAGGGTGGCATGTGGTCGTGGGGACAGCCGGTGGGAGCCCCAGCACGCACGGGGTGCGGCATCCACGGGGGACAGGGCCTTTGGTACATTATCTCCGGGGACAGAGCAGGCTGGAGCTGTGGACAGTCCCTGTCACTGCCCGGCCCCTGGGCAGCCACTCTCTCTCACAGAATTGACCCCTTGCATCCCTTGCAGCTTCGGAGCCGCGACAGCCGGCTCTGGACTTCACTGGGCCTGGCCCAGACACAGCTAGCTGGCCTGCTGCTCGGACACAACCCTCCCCCGACCCCAACACCCCCGGCTCATTTACCTGGGCCCAGGTGTCGCCTTTTCCAGAGGCAACATGTGGTCATTACCAAAAAAAAAAAAAAAAAAAAAAATCATTTCTTCTCTGCAGCAGCCGATTCTGGCGAGTGGTGACTTACAGCAGCTTGGCTTGGCAGTAAGGCCCCGTGTCCCCGCATTGATTTTTTGTTTTTTGTTTTTTAACCTGCTTGTCTTTTTGGTATGAGAGATTCCGAGGGTTTCTTGCAGCCAGACTGGGTTTATTTGTCATTCTATCAATCAGGAATTGTTATTAATGGCTCCCACACATCTGCAATGGGACGGTAATTTATGTCCATAATAATAGCCTGGAGGTGGCTTGGGTTCCTACAGGGACTGATCAAGGGAAGATTAAACCGTGCTCCGTATACAGGAGGCTTTCCAAATTAGTGCCAGCGGCTTCTAGGCATCCAGGGAGACCCTTCGGCACCCGAAACACAAATGGAGAGGAGGGGGCGAGCGAGGCGGCAGAGAGAGGCCCCAGGAGAGCATGAGCCAGGCCCCAGCTGGTCCCAGCCTTGCCTTTTCTGTCTTTTTCCTTTTTTGCTCTTCTCGCCCCACACTCATACTCCTCTCGGCGAGGGCGGGATATGATTAAAACCATCCGTCCTTTGCATCATTTATTCATCTGCTCATGCATTCATTCAGCAAAGAGAATCGTGCACCTGTGATGCACTGGGCACTGTTCTAGAAGTCAGGGACAGCAGGGAGTGAGGCAAAGGGTCTGGCCCTGTGGAACTTAAATAGTGGGAAAGCGGGCAGCAAACAGATACGGTCTCCCTCCTTATCCTTGGGGCTACGTTCCCAGGCCCTCCGTGGACGCCTGGAACCACGACCACCACCGAGCCTCATCTGTACTGTGCTTTTCCCTCCGCGTACACACCTCTGGGAAAGCGTGGTTTATAAATTAGGCACAGGAGAGAGTGACAACAATAACCCACCCTAGACTAGAAGCAGCAAAACAGTCTGCTGTAATAAAGGTTATGTGAATGTGGTCTCCCTGTCTCAAAACATTTTGGTCTGTACTTGGCCTCGTTGCGAGGAGGGGATGACAAGACGCTGTGTGGAGAGGAGAGTGAGCCGGACACGCAGGCCTGTGATGCAGCGCGAGGCTACTGGGGACCCTCTGAGAGTGTCAGAAGCAGGGACATCTGCTTCTGGGCCGTGGCTGACAGCGGGTGACTGAAACCATGGCTAAGAGGGGACCACTGTACATGAAATAATAGAGTGAGATGTACGAGGGACAACAGGAAGGCCGGTCGGGATAGGAAGTGCTGGGGCTGGTTGTAGTTTGGGATCCGGTGGACAGCGTGGTCTCCCTGAGCAGGTGACGCTGGCTTAGAGACCTGCAGGAAGTCAAGGGGTGAGCCAGGGGGATGAGGAAGGGGAAGAGATTTCAGGCAGGGACAACAGTAAGTGCAAAGGTCCTGTGGTAGGAATGTGCCCGGTACGTTTAAGGAAGGCGAGAGAGCCGTGCACGGAGAAAGTATGAGGTTGCTTTAGCTGTTGCTCTGTTACTGCTCTGTTGATGGTCCAGAAGGTGGGGAAGGTAGTACAGGTGCGTCCCCCTGGGGCTGGAAAGGTGGTTCTTTCAGGTCTTTGCAATTCATGTAAAGCTCCTGTAGGAAGATTTACTCAGGAAGAAACATCTTTTCTTATAAGCCACGGTTCCTACTTGCCGGCAAGACTCAAGTTAGTAATTTCCAAATTCACATTCTCAGAGTGGAAGCTTGCCACTGTTCCGAGCTTGTGATAATCGAAGACGTGACCAGGCTGAGGGGCAGCTACTGGCGGCCACGTCTGCTAGTGTGGTTGATTCACACCTTCCTGGGCGGATGGCAGGCTCTGAAATTGCCCAGAAGCACTGGCGAGAAGGTTCAGCAAAGCAGGCAACGGGGCTAGAGAGAGCGCGGAGGGAAGTCGCCTTGTACAGGCAGTGGGAACTCTGATGCGCCACATGCCTTTCTCTCTTTCACCTCTTTCTCCAGGATAGGCTGAAGTCAAGGACGGACAAACTGAGCGGGCCTTAGGCCTCCAGCATCAAATGCTTCCCCGGGCAGGACTCCTCGTTCGGACTGTGGCTCTGCGGCTTTAGGAGCCCCTGCCAAAGCAGGCCCCGTTTCAGGGCCCTCAGTCCCTGCTCCTGCCCGCTTCACATTCCCACCTCTTGGAGGTCAAGGAAGGCGTTTTGCCCCCCGGGAGAAAAACCCACCCAGAGGGTCCTCACTTAACAATACTGCCCTACCCCAAGAATGCCCCCGTCCAAAGGACCCGGTTTCTCTAATGGGTAAAATGATCCCAGATGTGCCCCAGAGCCTGACGCCCTCGGCTCGGGTTTCGTGCAGGAAATTGTTTTTGGAGCGGTAGGGCACGTTGGAAAGCCACTTGCTGGCTTTCGCCTTCTCCTGGAGGAGAGGTGGGCTCCAAGCTGGCTTTGCACACGTGAACACGTATCACCTTGTACCTGACGCAGCGGGTGGCGGGAGGGTTCCACATTCACGTCCTGACATGGGGCGGCCCCGCGGTGGGAGCCAGGAGGGCGCTGGGCGTCGATTCTGGGTGCAGGTCGTAGCTCTGCGGAGTTGAGGACTGTGAAGCTTATCGGATGTAGACAGAGATTTTCAGCTGAGCGTGATGCCCACCGGAAAGAATAGATCTTAAAAAAAGAAAGAGAAAAAAGAACGATGTTTGTGATGTTTGCGACCAGCAAAGGAGTCCATGAGTATCTGTGGGCTTTGAACCCCGGGCGGGTGGCTGAGCGTCTGCTCTTGGTTGGGCTCTGACTTTCTGTGCCTTTTGCGGGTCGTCAGACCAGGGCACGGCGGGCCTCTTCCAGGGGAGCCACAGTAAAGGCAGCCAGCTGCAGCTCAGGGCGATTTGGGAGAATATTTGCTTTCATGAATAAATGTGGATCTTTGGGGAATGGCTTCAAAATAAGTCACAAATGCAAACCTTTTGTAAATTATGTAAATTCCTATTTATCTATATAATTGGCAAGCACTGGGTCATGCCCAGCAGCTCACCATCCGCTCCAGCTGTGCTTTTGGCCAGCCCAGGATTACTGGATCTGACAGAGGGACGTGGGGCGATGTCACCAACAGGGACGGCCCCTCCCTCCACCCCTCCGCCCCCAAGCCCCAGCCCCTGCCAGCAGAGAGAGGAGAACCTCCATCTGAGGCACGCCCAGGTCACCCTGCAGGGAAATTCAAGGTGGTGGGGGACTGAGCCGTGGCCTTGACCAAATGTTGAGTTCTCCATGAGTATTTCCTAAGTTATTATAGGTATAAAAGGGAGTATCCGCCACGAGGAAACAGAACGGACTGGTTTGCCAGCAGGGGTGTGTAACGTAGAGAAGCAATTATTTATTTCGAGACCCTTCCTTACTTCAATTCCTTTACGTGGATCTGTTAAAAGTAAAGTCACTATATAGAGAGAAAGATTTTAAATTGTGTTCTGAATCCAAACTCCTAGTCCTTAGAGCTTGAATCACATTTTTAAAATGCATGTGAACTGTTTGGCTCTGTGGCAAGATGGTATCTTGGAGAGAAATTCATTCGTTGTGCTAACACTCAGAAAATACTAACTGTCAAATGCATAATAAAAAAATCTTGAAGTTTTCTCTGATTTGTGGGTTTTTCTCACTGGTGTTCTATGCATGGTTACACATCGACTTTTCATGGACCTCCGGAGAGCTCGGAGGGAGTTACAGTCCAGGAAGTAGAATCCATCCAAAGTCAATTATGGAGGGAGGCGAGCATGGGGCTGCTTGAATTTTAAGGAAGGAGCGGGATTTGGGGACCATCTGAGCAAGATAAACAATTCAAGGCAGTTGGGAAGAGGGAAGTTTGGGGAGAGGATTGGCTCCTTTCCCTGGCGCTGTCCCATTCACCTTGGTAGAGCCCCTGAGTGGCCACAGCAGGGCTGGGGCAGGAGTCCGGGGACAGGGCAGTCATGGCCAGCAACCGGCGGCTGACCCGAGTGGTCCTTTATATGGCCGTTTTCTTTTGCTCTGCTGCATACAGTTCTCGAGAACGAGCAGCCAGAAGTGACCACATTCTGTTTGATCTCCTCCCTCCCTTGCAGTCGCTTGAAGCCTTGAGGACAGCGAGGGCGTCTCTCTGGGTTGGAAGGTCAGAATAGGCTTAGGTTTCTTCATTTTCTTCCCCTTCCCCTTCCTCTCTCCAACCTCCTTTCTCTTTCTCTCTTCTGCCTCGAGGATTGGAGACTACCCGGGGCCAGGAAGTGGCCCGAAGCTCACCAGAGAGCAAAGGGGAAACCCGGGATTCTGAGTGGGCTTGACCACACCCGGTCTGAGAAAACCCAAGAGCCTCTCATTTTAGTGAAACTCATTTAGGGAATTGTGGCCTGGATGCACTGGGAGTCCCGACAGGAGTTTTCTCCTGCAGGATGTGAGGTCGTGTGGCAGTGGCTGCCGGGGCCCAGGGGAGGCACGACCGGGCGCCCACGGAGATGCCGCAGACCTGGGGTTGGGGAGGAAGGGAAGGGGAGTCCACCGGGCAGGGAGCGGGAGCCACTGCGGGATGGGCGGGGCCCAGGGCGGAAAGCAGATGCAGGGCTCCTGGTTCAAACGCATCAGAATTTCGGGATGGGGACAGCAGAGCACCTGGCCAGGTGAGGGCATCCCTGCCAGGCTGGGGGCCCCGAAGTCCAGCGGGAGGGCCAGTGATCCGGAAAGCTGGCTTTGCCTCTGAATCACCAAGGGGCCTAGCCTTAAGCTGGGCCTCAGTTTCCTCGTTTATAAAACGGGCGTGATAAATACCGGCCTGCCTACCTCCTTGCTTTACCCAGAGATCCAACCAAAAGAAAAAACCTATGTAAAAAAAATGTTTTGAATCCTGAACTCACAGCAGACACGAGGCCCCGTCTCCACGTGTTCCAGGTTTCTCTGAACCAGTCATTAGCTCCTGTTTTGACTCAAAGTTTCTCACGGAAGCACATCTTTGAAGTTAGACTATTTCTCAAAGTGATAGAATTTGATTTATAGACATTGTCAGGATAGTTGATTCCCCCCTACCCCAGA